CCGCTCTGTTCTCTCGCTCGCTGAATGCTCGGTACCAAAACGTCATATCCTTGCGAGAGGGGTCAAAAGTTGAATGGGGGTTTATGAGGTGCATGGTGATGGTAGCGCATGGCACTGGGGCGGCTTGAGCTCATACTAGAGTCGTAGGGGGTTAGAGTAGAATGCATTCATAATCATGCTGCGTCCCTTCCTTATTTGCCTGCTAGCTCGGCGCCCTAGTGCTGTGTGCTACCATCGCCTCCCCTTTCACAGCGTCACAGTGCCACGTGCTTTTTATCTTCAACTTTCGTTTCCTCTACTCATCGTTCTTGTTATCTCTGCCTCCTTGCATGCATTTCACTACTTTCATGCTTCTACTGACTACTTGGGTTCCTTTTCCCTTCTCTGTTTTCTTGCTCTCCTTCCCATCTCGTCTGGTGCTATGGCAGCGTGGTGCGGGGAGGGAGGGCGGTGGGATGACGCACGGCAGGCAGTCACAGCGGTGTGCGAGCCTCCTGGAAGCCTGACGCCACTGTCCTGCAAGCACCCCCATACGGCTAAGTTCCCTCTCCCTTCGCCCTTGCCATCCTTACCGCTTCTGCTTCGTGTTTATCATTGCCCACTTTTGTACCGCATTCTTCCGTCACCGCGTGCTCGAAACAAATGAGCCCATTTTCGAATGGGAGCGATCAAAAGTTGAGTGAGAGATGAGCGGCGTTTGGCGATGGTAGCGCATGGCACTAGGGCAGCTTGAGCTCATACTAGAGTCGTAGGGGGGTAGAATAGAATGCATTCATACCCATGCTGCGTCCTTCCTAATTTGCCTGCTAGCTAGGCACCCTAGTGCTGTGTGCTACCATCGCCTCCCCTTTCACAGCGTCACAGTACAACGTGCTTTTTATCTTCAACTTTCGTTTCCTCTACTCATCGTTCTTGTTATCTCTGCCTCCTTGCATGCATTTCACTACTTTCATGCTTCTACTGACTACTTGGGTTCCTTTCCCCTGCTCTGTTTTCTTGCTCTCCTTCCCATCTCGTCTGGTGCTATGGCAGCGTGGTGCGGGGAGAAAGGTGGGATGACGCACGGCAGGCAGTCACAGCGGTGTGCGAGCCTCCTGGAAGCCTGACGCCACTGTCCTGCAAGCACCCCCATACGGCTAAGTTCCCTCTCCCTTCGCCCTTGCCATCCTTACCGCTTCTGCTTCGTGTTTATCATTGCCCACTTTTGTACCGCATTCTTCCGTCACCGCATGCTCGAAAAAAATTAGCCCATTTTCGAATGGGAGCGATCAAAAGTTGAGTGAGAGATGAGCGGCGTTTGGCGATGGTAGCGCATGGCACTGGGGCGGCTTGAGCTCATACTAGAGTCATAGGGGGGTAGAATAGAATGCATTCATACCCATGCTGCGTCCCTTCTTAAAGGCCTGCTAGCTCGGCGCCCTAGTGCTGTGTGCTACCATCGCCTCCCCTTTCACATCATCACAGTGCCACGTGCTTTTTATCTTCAACTTTCGTTTCCTCTACTCATCGTTCTTGTTATCTCTGCCTCCTTGCATGCATTTCACTACTTTCATGCTTCTACTGACTACTTGGGTTCCTTTCCCCTGCTCTGTTTTCTTGCTCTCCTTCCCATCTCGTCTGGTGCTATGGCAGCGTGGTGCGGGGAGGGAGGGCGGTGGGATGACGCACGGCAGGCAGTCACAGCGGTGTGCGAGCCTCCTGGAAGCCTGACGCCACTGTCCTGCAAGCACCCCCATACGGCTAAGTTCCCTCTCCCTTCGCCCTTGCCATCCTTACCGCTTCTGCTTCGTGTTTATCATTGCCCACTTTTGTACCGCATTCTTCCGTCACCGCGTGCTCGAAACAAATGAGCCCATTTTCGAATGGGAGCGATCAAAAGTTGAGTGAGAGATGAGCGGCGTTTGGCGATGGTAGCGCATGGCACTGGGGCGGCTTGAGCTCATACTAGAAACGTAGGGGGGTAGAATAGAATGCATTCATACCCATGCTGCGTCCGTTCCTTAATTGCCTGCTAGCTCGGCGCCCTAGTGCTGTGTGCTACCATCGCCTCCCCTTTCACAGCGTCACAGTGCCACGTGCTTTTTATCTTCAACTTTCGTTTCCTCTACTCATCGTTCTTGTTATCTCTGCCTCCTTGCATGCATTTCACTACTTTCATGCTTCTACTGACTACTTGGGTTCCTTTCCCCTGCTCTGTTTTCTTGCTCTCCTTCCCATCTCGTCTGGTGCTATGGCAGCGTGGTGCGGGGAGAAAGGTGGGATGACGCACGGCAGGCAGTCACAGCGGTGTGCGAGCCTCCTGGAAGCCTGACGCCACTGTCCTGCAAGCACCCCCATACGGCTAAGTTCCCTCTCCCTTCGCCCTTGCCATCCTTACCGCTTCTGCTTCGTGTTTATCATTGCCCACTTTTGTACCGCATTCTTCCGTCACCGCATGCTCGAAAAAAATTAGCCCATTTTCGAATGGGAGCGATCAAAAGTTGAGTGAGAGATGAGCGGCGTTTGGCGATGGTAGCGCATGGCACTGGGGCGGCTTGAGCTCATACTAGAGTCATAGGGGGGTAGAATAGAATGCATTCATACCCATGCTGCGTCCCTTCTTAAAGGCCTGCTAGCTCGGCGCCCTAGTGCTGTGTGCTACCATCGCCTCCCCTTTCACATCATCACAGTGCCACGTGCTTTTTATCTTCAACTTTCGTTTCCTCTACTCATCGTTCTTGTTATCTCTGCCTCCTTGCATGCATTTCACTACTTTCATGCTTCTACTGACTACTTGGGTTCCTTTCCCCTGCTCTGTTTTCTTGCTCTCCTTCCCATCTCGTCTGGTGCTATGGCAGCGTGGTGCGGGGAGAAAGGTGGGATGACGCACGGCAGGCAGTCACAGCGGTGTGCGAGCCTCCTGGAAGCCTGACGCCACTGTCCTGCAAGCACCCCCATACGGCTAAGTTCCCTCTCCCTTCGCCCTTGCCATCCTTACCGCTTCTGCTTCGTGTTTATCATTGCCCACTTTTGTACCGCATTCTTCCGTCACCGCATGCTCGAAAAAAATTAGCCCATTTTCGAATGGGAGCGATCAAAAGTTGAGTGAGAGATGAGCGGCGTTTGGCGATGGTAGCGCATGGCACTGGGGCGGCTTGAGCTCATACTAGAGTCATAGGGGGGTAGAATAGAATGCATTCATACCCATGCTGCATCCCTTCTTAAAGGCCTGCTAGCTCGGCGCCCTAGTGCTGTGTGCTACCATCGCCTCCCCTTTCACAGCGTCACAGTGCCACGTGCTTTTTATCTTCAACTTTCGTTTCCTCTACTCATCGTTCTTGTTATCTCTGCCTCCTTGCATGCATTTCACTACTTTCATGCTTCTACTGACTACTTGGGTTCCTTTCCCCTGCTCTGTTTTCTTGCTCTCCTTCCCATCTCGTCTGGTGCTATGGCAGCGTGGTGCGGGGAGAAAGGTGGGATGACGCACGGCAGGCAGTCACAGCGGTGTGCGAGCCTCCTGGAAGCCTGACGCCACTGTCCTGCAAGCACCCCCATACGGCTAAGTTCCCTCTCCCTTCGCCCTTGCCATCCTTACCGCTTCTGCTTCGTGTTTATCATTGCCCACTTTTGTACCGCATTCTTCCGTCACCGCATGCTCGAAAAAAATTAGCCCATTTTCGAATGGGAGCGATCAAAAGTTGAGTGAGAGATGAGCGGCGTTTGGCGATGGTAGCGCATGGCACTGGGGCGGCTTGAGCTCATACTAGAGTCATAGGGGGGTAGAATAGAATGCATTCATACCCATGCTGCGTCCCTTCTTAAAGGCCTGCTAGCTCGGCGCCCTAGTGCTGTGTGCTACCATCGCCTCCCCTTTCACAGCGTCACAGTGCCACGTGCTTTTTATCTTCAACTTTCGTTTCCTCTACTCATCGTTCTTGTTATCTCTGCCTCCTTGCATGCATTTCACTACTTTCATGCTTCTACTGACTACTTGGGTTCCTTTCCCCTGCTCTGTTTTCTTGCTCTCCTTCCCATCTCGTCTGGTGCTATGGCAGCGTGGTGCGGGGAGGGAGGGCGGTGGGATGACGCACGGCAGGCAGTCACAGCGGTGTGCGAGCCTCCTGGAAGCCTGACGCCACTGTCCTGCAAGCACCCCCATACGGCTAAGTTCCCTCTCCCTTCGCCCTTGCCATCCTTACCGCTTCTGCTTCGTGTTTATCATTGCCCACTTTTGTACCGCATTCTTCCGTCACCGCGTGCTCGAAACAAATGAGCCCATTTTCGAATGGGAGCGATCAAAAGTTGAGTGAGAGATGAGCGGCGTTTGGCGATGGTAGCGCATGGCACTGGGGCGGCTTGAGCTCATACTAGAAACGTAGGGGGGTAGAATAGAATGCATTCATACCCATGCTGCGTCCGTTCCTTAATTGCCTGCTAGCTCGGCGCCCTAGTGCTGTGTGCTACCATCGCCTCCCCTTTCACAGCGTCACAGTGCCACGTGCTTTTTATCTTCAACTTTCGTTTCCTCTACTCATCGTTCTTGTTATCTCTGCCTCCTTGCATGCATTTCACTACTTTCATGCTTCTACTGACTACTTGGGTTCCTTTCCCCTGCTCTGTTTCTCGCTCTCCCCTGTCCCTGTCCCTGTCCCTGTCCCTGTCCCTGTCCCTGTCCCTGTCCCTGTCCCTGTCCCTGTCCCTGTCCCTGTCCCTGTCCCTGTCCCTGTCCCTGTCCCTGTCCCTGTCCCTGTCCCTGTCCCTGTCCCTGTCCCTGTCCCTGTCCCTGTCCCTGTCCCTGTCCCTGTCCCTGTCCCTGTCCCTGTCCCTGTCCCTGTCCCTGTCCCTGTCCCTGTCCCTGTCCCTGTCCCTGTCCCTGTCCCTGTCCCTGTCCCTGTCCCTGTCCCTGTCCCTGTCCCTGTCCCTGTCCCTGTCCCTGTCCCTGTCCCTGTCCCTGTCCCTGTCCCTGTCCCGATTTGAACCCAAAACCTCATTCTTCCTTGTACCGACTGGACCACTCCATGCCGTTCAATGGGTACATTGTCTTTTAACTATATTCTAAAAAGGTCTTCTTTTATCTGACAACATTGACTTTCCAGGGTATTTTTCCTGAGGGACTCGGATAGAAAGTTTTTTTTGACACTGACGAAAGGACCAGCACTGGCGAAAGGACCATCACTCACCCCAAGGACGCTCTGGAAGCCTCGCGCTTCACCCCAGTTTCTGAGCACACCGTGCCTGCCTTCCTCCAGGACCACCCGGTCCTCGCTGCCAGGCTCGGCGGCGCAACGGACCAGTGGTCCGTGCAGGAGGTGGGCGACGGGAACATCAACTTCGTGTACATCGTCGAAGGCCCGCAGGGGGCTCTGGTGGTGAAGCAGGCGCTGCCGTACGTGCGAGTGGTGGGGGAGTCCTGGCCGATGACTCTGGATAGGATCTACTATGAGGCGCTGGCGCTGCGGCAGCAGTTTGCGTGGGTGCCTGAACTGGTGCCGGAGGTGTATTTTTTTAGTCATCCGATGGCGCTGATTGTGATGCGGTATGTGGCGCCACCGGCGATCGTGCTGAGGAAGGGGCTGGTGCAGGGGCGCGTGTACCCGCGTCTGGCGGAGCACATGTCATCGTTCCTCGCGAGCACGCTCTTCCTGTCGTCGCTCATCGCCATCAACACCGAGGTGTACCGCGACAAAGGTGGGCCATCTGTGGGAACAGAGATGGGCGTGGGGTGAGGAAGGGGCTGGTGCAGGGGCGCGTGTTTTCGCGGCTGGCGGAGCACATGTCGTCGTTCCTTGCGAGCACGCCGAGTTGTCCTAGCCAAAGCCATCGCGTTGAACTCTGGATTTATTCCTGCCCTCCCCAACGTTTTGCCCTGCTTCTCCTTTCCTCTTGCTACCCTCCAGTGCGGGAGTTCTGTGGCAACGTGGAGATGTGTCGGCTGACGGAGCAGGTCATCTTCACTGAGCCCTACGTGCTGGCCACCAACAACCGCTGGACCACGCCTCAGCTGGATGACGACGCTGCTGCGCTGAGGGAGGACGTGCCGCTCAAGCTCGCCATCACCGAGCTCAAGAGCAAATGAGTGAGGTTCCTTGGGTGCTTGCTGCTCCTCCTGCTGCTGCCCAGTGCGGGAGATGCGTGGCAATGTGAAGGCGTGCCGTGCCACTCACAGAGCTCTGAGACGTGCCGCTCAAGCTCGCCATCACCCAGCTCAAGAGCAAGTGAGTGAGGTTCCTTGGGTGCTTGCTGCTCCTCCTGCTGCTGCCCAGTGCGGGAGATGCGTGGCAATGTGAAGGCGTGCCGTGCCACTCACAGAGCTCTGAGACGTGCCGCTCAAGCTCGCCATCACCGAGCTCAAGAGCAAGTGAGTGAGGTCAAACCTGACGAGCTTGAGCAGCAAGCACCCAAGGATTGCTTGGGTGTCGTGCGTCAATACACTGACTGTCGTGCGTGCGGGAATGACCCGCATCTGCACTGTGGCGAATCTACTACAGACTCATGCACGGACTGATTTCACCAAACCGGACTGATTTCCGGTGCATATAGAAAATTTCCCTAACAACCTGTCTGACGCACTGTTCCGCGTGCATGCTAGTGTTGTGCAGTGATCAAAGTCCACACTGTAATTTTTTTTCGCGTTGCTGGCTGTGAATCAGCGATTTCACAGACCAAACAGTTAAAATTCTGAATTTCTGGCTGTGAAACTGATGAATTCACGACCCACACAGTTTAGAATTCGTGAGAGTCACATTTGTCACACGCGAGATGCGTTTTTTTTAAATCTGCAAGATTGTTTTATAGTTTCTGGGTGCTTTGCGCTCGATAACAATGAGGTCACGTAACCACACACACCGTCTACAAACGTTTTAAACCGCGATATACGGACTTCAAATTTCGCGTGCAGGCCACCCCCACACACGTGGGCTGTCGTGAGTATTGGACGGGTGCACTGTGCATGGGATGTCATGATTGGCACCCGTGTTGTTTCTCGCCACTCATCTCCACCTTGTCTGATGCGAATTTTTTCTTGCAGCGCTAGTCACCTGTTGTGCTAGTGCTGGTGCGGACCTGGCAAAAGTCGCCCGCGTGTAGCTAGTGCCCCCAATGAAACGCACGATCCAGTTCGTAAACACTTGCCGGAAGTCAAACGCGTGTACTACCTGCGGGTACTACCCGCGCTTTATTTACACTTGCCGGAAATCAGCTGAAGTTCTTGGCCTCAGAGATTGTATCCGCGAAATTTCATCCAGGTGACTAGGTTTTTTCGCGTGTAGGTCCCCAAAGAATTCTCGCAGTGGGTTCCCAGGAATTCCCGCGGATGACTTTCGCGGAATGTTTTTCCCGCGTTGAGGGTCATTGTCCGCGTCAAATTGGTGATGGTGGCTGGCCAATACGTGCACAACTAGGCCCGTGTTTTTATAAATTCGCGGGTTTCCTGAATGTACATCCCTCTTTTTCCCCAATAAACGTGGGTGGATGCTGGTTTCGGTTGTGTGTTTCTGGAAGTCGGATGGATCTACAACGAGCGAGAGGTACCGCATTCCATACTGCCGTACGGTTGTTTAGTACGTACCATTGTTTAAAAAAACGGGACGAACAAAGAGTCTCGGATCCCGCACTACCACACTCAATCGTCGGGCCCAAGCGCATTCTAACCCAAATATGCGTGAATAACCCCGCAGAATATCTCACGGATTCCACCCGCACTTAGTTAGTATTATTGTTATTGCCCACGAAGCGCTTTGTTCCCTTGTCATACCAGCGTGCAGAACCCGCAAACATGCCTGCTTGTTATTCAGTCGTTCAAAAGCCCGCGGGAAAAACACGTACTTTCAAATTTCCGCAAGTTTGTGATATTCGCGTGGATACCCGCCTGAAATTTCCGCGAGAAATTCCTACAAGAAATTTCCAGCGGGAAATCTCACGATGCAAGAAATACCCGCGGAGAGCACCCGCGAGAAACACCCGCGGAATGTACCCGCGAATAATATTTGTGAGAAGTACCCGCGAAAGATAGCTGGGTTGCTGGTTTTCCAAGGATTTTTCGCGGGTGGGTTTTCTTCGTGAGTAGATTCCAAGAACTTCCCTCGTGAGAGGTACATGAATTTCCGCATTTCTTCCGCGGAAATTCCTGCGTTTCCGATTGCGGGAATTCCCGTGTGTCGGTTCATAGACATGTGCCAAGCAACGTCCATGTCTTCCTATATCTGTGTTTTGTTTCACATAATTATCATTTCTGTTACCAGAACCGCACAGGCTAACCCGAGGTTGACTGTCGTGGGGATGTGCTCACGAGGTTCGCATTTCCTTCGTGCTGTTTTCGCGCGCGATTCATGAGCTTCCACGCGGCTGGCCTGTTTGAAAAAGTTGCTGCCACGTGCAGACAGCTCGTTTTCCAGTCGTGCACGCAAATCACCTGAAGCCACGAAGCAAGACACGAAGTACCTAGCCGGTGTAAAAACGACACGTGCATGCGATTGCTTCCCACGATGTTTTCCGCATGAGAAATCGAGGGGAAAACGGCCAATGATCGGTCGCCGAGCGTCTGGTTACTGATACGTTTTCTAGGGTTTGTTCCACTCGGTAGCACTGGGACCACGCTACCGACGGGCGGCCGAACTTGGTAGTGCTACCCAGCCGCGCAGTTCCTCGCCCGAAAACGCTCCCCTCGCCTGCGCCCAACTACCCCCCTGTTATATATACCCCAAATCAAACCTGACCTCAAACCTTACCTCAAACCTGACCTCAATCTGACCTCAAACCTGACGTCAAACCTGACCTCAAACCTGACGTCAAACCTGACCTCAAACCTGACCTCAAGCTTGACCTCAAACCTGACCTCAAACCTGACCTCAAACCTGACCTCAAACCTGACCTCAAACCTGACCTCAAACCTGACCTCAAACCTGACCTCAAACCTGACCTCAAACCTGACCTCAAACCTGACCTCAAACCTGATGTCAAACCTGACCTCAAACCTGACCTCAAACCTGACCTCAAACCTGACCTCAAACCTGACCTCAAACCTGACCTCAAACCTGACCTCAAACCTGACCTCAAACCTGACCTCAAACCTGACCTCAAACCTGACGTCAAACCTGACCTCAAACCTGACCTCAAACCTGACGTCAAACCTGACCTCAAACCTGACCTCAAACCTGACCTCGAACCTGGTGTCAAACCTGACCTCAAACCTGACGTCAAAAGTGACGTCAAACCTGACCTCAAACCTGACCTCAAACCTGACGTCAAACCTGACCTCAAACCTGACCTCAAACCTGACCTCAAACCTGACCTCAAACCTGATGTCAAACCTGACCTCAAACCTGACGTCAAACCTGACGTCAAACCTGACGTCAAACTTGACCTCAGACCTGATTTCAAACTGAGGTCAAACCTGACGTCAAACCTGACCTCAAACCTGACCTCAAACCTGACGTCAAACCTGACGTCAAACCTGACCTCAAACCTGACCTCAAACCTGATGTCAAACCTGACCTCAAACCTGATGTCAAACCTGACCTCAAACCTGACCTCAAACCTGACCTCAAACCTGACCTCAAACCTGACCTCAAACCTGACCTCAAACCTAACCTCGAACCTAATGTCAAACCTGACCTCAAACCTGACCTCAAACCTAACCTCGAACCTAATGTCAAACCTGACCTCTAACCTGACATCAAAACTGACGTCAAACCTGACCTCAAACCTGACCTCAAACCTGACGTCAAACCTGACGTCAAACCTGACCTCAAACCTGACCTCAAACCTGACCTCAAACCTGATGTCAAACCTGACCTCAAACCTGACGTCAAACCTGACGTCAAACTTGACCTCAGACCTGACCTCAAACTGACGTCAAACCTGATGTCAAACCTGACCTCAAACCTGACCTCAAACCTGATGTCAAACCTGACCTCAAACCTGATGTCAAACCTGACCTCAAACCTGACCTCAAACCTGACCTCAAACCTGACCTCAAACCTGACCTCAAACCTGACCTCAAACCTTACCTCGAACCTAATGTCAAACCTGACCTCAAACCTGACCTCAAACCTAACCTCGAACCTAATGTCAAACCTGACCTCTAACCTGACATCAAAACTGACGTCAAACCTGACCTCAAACCTGACCTCAAACCTGACGTCAAACCTGACGTCAAACCTGACGTCAAACCTGACCTCAAACCTGACGTCAAACCTGACCTCAAACCTGACCTCAAACCTGATGTCAAACCTGACCTCAAACCTGACGTCAAACCTGACGTCAAACTTGACCTCAGACCTGACCTCAAACTGACGTCAAACCTGATGTCAAACCTGACCTCAAACCTGACGTCAAACCTGACCTCAAACCTGACCTCAAACCTGACCTCAAACCTGACCTCAAACCTGACGTCAAACCTGACCTCAAACCTGACGTCAAACCTGACCTCAAACCTGACCTCAAACCTGACGTCAAACCTGACGTCAAACCTGACCTCAAACCTGACGTCAAACCTGACGTCAAACCTGACCTCAAACCTGACCTCAAACCTGACGTCAAACCTGACCTCAAACCTGACGTCAAACCTGACGTCAAACCTGACGTCAAACCTGACCTCAAACCTGACCTCAAACCTGATTTAAACTTGACCTCAAACCTGACATCAAACCTGACCTCAAACCTGACGTCAAACCTGACCTCAAACCTGACTTCAAACTGACCTCAAACCTGATCTCAAACCTGACGTCAAACCTGACCTCAAACCTGACCTCAAACCTGACGTCAAACCTGACCTCAAACCTGACGTCAAACCTGACGTCAAACCTGACCTCAAACCTGACCTCAAACCTGACGTCAAACCTGACCTCAAACCTGACGTCAAACCTGACGTCAAACCTGATGTCAAACCTGACCTCAAACCTGATTTAAACTTGACCTCAAACCTGACCTCAAACCTGACGTCAAACCTGACCTCAAAGCTGACTTCAAACTGACCTCAAACCTGATGTCAAACCTGACGTCAAACCTGACCTCAAACCTGACCTCAAACCTGACGTCAAACCTGACCTCAAACCTGACGTCAAACCTGACCTCAAACCTGACCTCAAACCTGACCTCAAACCTGACCTCAAACCTGACGTCAAATTTGACCTCAAACCTGACGTCAAACCTGACCTCAAACCTGACCTCAAACCTGACCTCAAACCTGACGTCAAACCTGACCTCAAACCTGACCTCAAACCTGACGTCAAACCTGACCTCAAACCTGACCTCAAACCTGACCTCAAACCTGACCTCAAACCTGACCTCAAACCTGACCTCAAACCTGACCTCAAACCTGACCTCAAACCTGACGTCAAACCTGACCTCAAACCTGACCTCAAACCTGACGTCAAACCTGACCTCGAACTGACCTCAAACCTGACGTCAAACCTGACCTCAAACCTGACCTCAAACCTGACCTCAAACCTGACCTCGGACCTGATGTCAAACCTGACCTCAAACCTGAAGTCAAAAGTGACGTCAAACCTGACCTCAAACCTGACCTCAAACCTGACGTCAAACCTGACGTCAAACCTGACCTCAAACCTGACGTCAAACCTGACGTCAAACCTGACCTCAAACCTGACCTCAAACCTGATGTCAAACCTGACCTCAAACCTGATGTCAAACCTGACCTCAAACCTGACCTCAAACCTGACCTCAAACCTGACGTCAAACCTGACCTCAAACCTGACCTCAAGCCTGACCTCAAACCTAACCTCGAACCTAATGTCAAACCTGACCTCAAACCTGACGTCAAACCTGACGTCAAACCTGACCTCAAACCTGACCTCAAACCTGACGTCAAACCTGACGTCAAACCTGACCTCAAACCTGACCTCAAACCTGACCTCAAACCTGATGTCAAACCTGACCTCAAACCTGACGTCAAACCTGACGTCAAACCTGACGTCAAACTTGACCTCAGACCTGATTTCAAACTGAGGTCAAACCTGACGTCAAACCTGACCTCAAACCTGACCTCAAACCTGACCTCAAACCTGACCTCGGACCTGATGTCAAACCTGACCTCAAACCTGAAGTCAAAAGTGACGTCAAACCTGACCTCAAACCTGACCTCAAACCTGACGTCAAACCTGACGTCAAACCTGACCTCAAACCTGACGTCAAACCTGACGTCAAACCTGACCTCAAACCTGACCTCAAACCTGATGTCAAACCTGACCTCAAACCTGATGTCAAACCTGACCTCAAACCTGACCTCAAACCTGACCTCAAACCTGACGTCAAACCTGACCTCAAACCTGACCTCAAGCCTGACCTCAAACCTAACCTCGAACCTAATGTCAAACCTGACCTCAAACCTGACGTCAAACCTGACGTCAAACCTGACCTCAAACCTGACCTCAAACCTGACGTCAAACCTGACGTCAAACCTGACGTCAAACTTGACCTCAGACCTGATTTCAAACTGAGGTCAAACCTGACGTCAAACCTGACCTCAAACCTGACGTCAAACCTGACCTCAAACCTGACCTCAAACCTGACCTCAAACCTGACCTCAAACCTGACCTCAAACCTGACGTCAAACCTGACCTCAAACCTGACCTCAAACCTGACGTCAAACCTGACCTCAAACCTGACCTCAAACCTGATGTCAAACCTGACCTCAAACCTGAAGTCAAAAGTGACGTCAAACCTGACCTCAAACCTGACCTCAAACCTGACGTCAAACCTGACGTCAAACCTGACCTCAAACCTGACGTCAAACCTGACGTCAAACCTGACCTCAAACCTGACCTCAAACCTGATGTCAAACCTGACCTCAAACCTGATGTCAAACCTGACCTCAAACCTGACCTCAAACCTGACCTCAAACCTGACCTCAAACCTGACGTCAAACCTGACGTCAAACCTGACCTCAAACCTGACCTCAAACCTGACCTCAAACCTGACCTCAAACCTGATGTCAAACCTGACCTCAAACCTGACGTCAAAAGTGACGTCAAACCTGACCTCAAACCTGACCTCAAACCTGACGTCAAACCTGACGTCAAACCTGACCTCAAACCTGACCTCAAACCTGACCTCAAACCTGACCTCAAACCTGACCTCAAACCTGACCTCAAACCTGACCTCAAACCTGACGTCAAACCTGACCTCAAACCTGACCTCAAACCCGACCTCAAACCTAACCTCGAACCTAATGTCAAACCTGACCTCAAACCTGATGTCAAACCTGACGTCAAACCTGACCTCAAACCTGACCTCAAACCTGACGTCAAACCTGACCTCAAACCTGACGTCAAACCTGACGTCAAACCTGACCTCAAACCTGACCTCAAACCTGACCTCAAACCTGACCTCAAACCTGATGTCAAACCTGACCTCAAACCTGACGTCAAAAGTGACGTCAAACCTGACCTCAAACCTGACCTCAAACCTGACGTCAAACCTGACGTCAAACCTGACGTCAAACCTGACCTCAAACCTGACCTCAAACCTGACCTCAAACCTGACCTCAAACCTGACCTCAAACCTGACGTCAAACCTGACCTCAAACCTGACCTCAAACCTGACCTCAAACCTAACCTCGAACCTAATGTCAAACCTGACCTCAAACCTGATGTCAAACCTGACGTCAAACCTGACCTCAAACCTGACCTCAAACCTGACGTCAAACCTGACCTCAAACCTGACCTCAAACCTGACCTCAAACCTGACGTCAAACCTGACCTCAAACCTGACCTCAAACCTGATGTCAAACCTGACCTCAAACCTGACGTCAAACCTGACGTCAAACTTGACCTCAGACCTGACCTCAAACTGACATCAAACCTGATGTCAAACCTGACCTCAAACCTGACCTCAAACCTGACCTCAAACCTGACATCAAACCTGACGACGAACTGACCTCAAACCTGACGTCAAACCTGACGTCAAACCTGACCTCAAACCTGATGTCAAACCTGACCTCAAACCTGATTTAAACTTGACCTCAAACCTGACATCAAACCTGACCTCAAACCTGACCTCAAACCTGACGTCAAACCTGACCTCAAACCTGACGTCAAACCTGACCTCAAACCTGACCTCAAACCTGACGTCAAACCTGACCTCAAACCTGACCTCAAACCTGACGTCAAACCTGACGTCAAACTTGACCTCAGACCTGGCCTCAAACCTGACGTCAAACCTGACCTCAAACCTGATGTCAAACCTGACGTCAAACCTGACCTCAAACCTGATGTCAAACCTGACGTCAAACCTGACCTCAAACCTGACGTCAAACCTGACCTCAAACCTGACGTCAAACCTGACCTCAAACCTGACCTCAAACCTGACCTCAAACCTGACGTCAAACCTGACGTCAAACCTGACCTCAAACCTGACCTCAAACCTGACCTCAAACCTGACGTCAAACCTGACGTCAAACCTGACCGTGCGGTGCAGCGTATGAGCGTGCGGTGCAGCGTATGAGCGTGCGGTGCAGCATATGAGCGTGCGGTGCAGCGTATGTGTGTGCGGTGCAGCGTATGTGCGTGCGGTGCAGTGTATGAGCGTGCGGTGCAGTGTATGAGCGTGCGGTGCATTGTATGAGCGTGCGGTGCAGTGTATGAGCGTGCGGTGCAGTGCAAGTGAAAGGGGCTGAGTCCTCTTGGGTGGGTGAGTGCAATTGAAAGGGGCTGAGTCCCATTGGGTGGGTGAGTGCAAGTAAAAGGGATGGTGCTCATGGGCTGGTGCTCATGGGCTGGTGCAGTTCAACGCCATAGCCAGATTGTGCTAATCATGGCCGCATGCCCGTTCATGGCAGCATGCCCGTTCATGGCAGCGTGTGCATGCTTCTGTACCTCTCCGTGCATCATCAGATTCAGGACAGACGGGATCTTAGGTGCAACCCATGGTGATTTTGATGCCTGCTAGGGTGAGATTCGGATTTCTAGGAGATTTACTCATAGCGACATTTAAACCATTAGTTCATGAGCATTTTATTTACAAGTTGAAACATTAATTGCCTATGGTTCTTGTTGCATTGTACCACATTCCATTTATCCTCAACTTGTTTTGAGTAATTGTAGATTGTGGCTTTATACTTTTCTGGATAAGTAGTTTGTATCTATGTGGTTGGACTGGTTATTCGAAGAACACTGTAAATGATATTCCAGCTTTACCGTTCCAAACCCATTGCGAAGCGTGTATGGTATTTCTCGGTATCGCCATCTCCTTCGCACAACAAAATCTCGCTTCGCTTTGTACTGTCCTCATTTTTGGGAATAATATTAGGGATAACTAATTTCCAGCTACTATTTACCTGCTCTGGGTAAGGCCTTAGGCTTGTAACTGACGCGATGGGAGTCAGGGTCGCAGAAATTCAGTGCGGTGCGGCTCGGTCTCAACGGTCTTGTTCTGTATGGTTAGGATCCGAAAGCGGAGCAGCGCGTGAGGCGTTATGCCGAGCCGATCCCTCACAGCGACCTCACGCGACAACCGTCGCATGTGCGACGGCAGGCACAGACGTGTATCGGCATCGCGCATGCGTCGCACGGAGCCACGCCGTCGACGATCCATACCTGACAGTCAGAGCGCGACGGAAACATGATTCACATCGAGGCATTGAGAGTGCATCGAGCAGCTCTAGAAGCAGCATCAGTAACACAGCATCGAGCCAGATACCGTCTATTGGAACTGGTTACCACATCGCTGGTTACAGCGGTACTGTTTCGAGCAGCAGTGGCGACGGAGAGCGGAGGAGAGCGAGACGAGCAGTGATCACTGCAGCTGCTGCATCGTCTGGCAGGCCATCAGCGGATGACGGCTCTAATCTAAGATCGCTAGTTCAAGCGGCAGTAGATTTTATCAAGGTGCGCTTGTAGGGAGACGGAGAGGAAGAGAGGCGTGATTCCACTGAGCGCAATGCACAGCATCCCTTCCCCATTTCCCACTCTCGTTGCACCACCCGCAGGGCCAGATGCCACCCATGCTTTCAGATTCTCCACCCGCAGCGCCAGATGCCATCCGTGCTTTCAGATTCTCCACCCGCAGGGCCAGATGCCATCCATGCTTTCAGATTCTCCACCCGCTTGGCCAGATGCCATCCATGCTTTCAGATTCTCCACCCGCAGGGCCAGATGCCATCCATGCTTTCAGATTCTCCACCCGCAGGGCCAGATGCCATCCATGCTTTCAGATTCTCCACCCGCAGCGCCAGATGCCATCCATGCTTTTAGATCCTCCACTCTTCTCCTGCTGCTTGTATTGTTCGTGGGTTTGTCTCCAAGCTTTACCATCCCCTCCCCGACCGAGCTCGCCCCTCTACCCCATTTGTGGTGGCAGCGATGTTTTCTACAGTCTCTGCTGCTGCTAACAGGCCTTGTCATTCCCTGCATCTCACTCCTTCCCCACAACCACAACTCCTTCTCCCACTCCCCACTCCCCACCCTCCTCCCTCGCAGCTCAGCGTCTCCCTGAGCTGTATTCTCTCCGTCTCACCCGTTTCCCACAACCCACGACTCTTCCTTTTCCGACTCCCCACTCCCCACCCTCCCTCCCTCGCAGCATCACTGGCACAACGTGAGGCGGAGGGTGTTTGTGAAGGTGCTGGTGCCGCTGGCGGGGTTCTTCTCAGCCAACGCACTCTCCACCATTGTGGGGCAGACGGGCGATTGGGACGTGCTCGTTGCCGGCTCCCTTGTTGCCTCTCTTGAGCTCCCCATTCCCCTCTCCCCACTCCCCACTCCCCATTCCCCACCCCCCACTCCCCATTCCCCATTCCCCACTCCCCGCTCCCCACTCTCCCTCCCTCGCAGCGTCGCTGGCGCAACGTGAGGCGGAGGGTGTTTGTGAAGGTGCTGGTGCTGCTGGCGGGGTTCTTCTCAGCCAATGCGCTCTCCACCATCGTGGGGCAGACGGGCGATTGGGACGTGCTCGTTGCCGGCTCCCTCGTCGCCTCCCTTGAGCTCCTCGGCGCCTGCCTCTACCGCCTCCGCCTGCGCGCCGCCTCCGCTGCTGCCGCCAACGCCGCGAAACTCGCAGCCAAGAGCGCAGCAGCGGCGGGAAGAGGAGGAGGAGGAGGAGGGGGGAGGGTGGGAGCAGGAGAGGGGAAAGCGGGTGGGATGACAGGTTCAGGTGGAGAAGTGGAGGGTGATGGGGGGGTGGAGAAGGGGGAGGGTGCATTGATAGATGCTGTGGCGCTGGTGAATTTCTGGAAGGCAGGTATCATATTGGGTTTATTTGTGGACGCCTTCAAGGTTGGCAGCTGAGAATGACGTGAATGATGATCAGAGCTGATTCAAGGTGTACATTCCTGAGGAGAGGCGTCTCAAAAGGATCGCACTACATCTAGAGATCCAAGATTCTTGCTGCACTGTTTCGTCTTTTGCAACGCGGGGTTTTTGCAACCTACGCCAGGAATGTACCCTAATATTGTTCTAGTCCAATTCATTCAATTACAATTAAATTTAGAGTGTAGCAGAGTGAGGAAGATAGGGTGACTGAAGTTTCTCACATTCATGCACAATGATTGGCCAGTCTAATGAAATATCTATCAATGAGGTCTGGATCACGGCCACATGTCCAGCCATGATAAAAAACTGAACACAAAATTAGAGGTAACTAAACCGAGGGCTGGATCCTGCAATCACAGTCAACCGCGCCTCACAGAGCAGAACCTTGGCCCTACCTAACCCTTCTTGTTATTCATCCAGTCACACTTGATGACAAAAACGGGTTTGTTTGTGTCCCCCAGCTACCGGTTACCATGCCGGTTAGCCGTCTTACACGCTCCATATGGCTTCTGGCTCCGCAGGCGCGCGGGACTTGGGCGTTCCGCGTTTCGACCCCAGCAGGTCCGCGCGCAGCAGGCGGAGACACCCGCGGGAGGGGACGGGGTTGGAGTGCGAGAAGGGGATTTCGTCTCGCGGGAGGTCCCACGTCACACTGCGCGCTCGGCGGTGAAAAGCCCGCGGATCCGCGCTGGTGGCGCGCCTCGGCGTGCCGCAGCGCGAGCCCAGAAGATCGCATCGCGCCAGTTTCATCAAACGGCCGGTGCCAGAATCGGAGCAGCTTCTGGGAAACTTCACGGAGGGAGATGGCGCCGCGTCGTCGAGACAGGATAGCGAACGCGCCGTCGTTTCGCGCGAAACGGGGCTGCTGCTTGGGGAGTAAGTTTCCCCGCTGGGAGCGCAAAATTCGGGGGGAGACGTATACGACCGTTCGGCTGCTGGGACATGATAAATAGGCGCTGAGGCCGCGGGTTGGCACGTGGCGGAACGGACGGCAGACGGGCGCGGGGAAGAAGTGGCGGAAGCGGCGGAGGTTGCGGAAGCGGCGGAGGTTGCGGAAGCGGCGGAAGTTGCGGAAGCGGAGAAAGCGTGGCGGAAGAGGAAACGCGGAGTGCCGCAGCGGGAGCCGAGCAGGAGGCGGCGGTGCTCGTGCAGCGATGGCGAGGAGTGGTGCTCGTCGGGGAAGTCGGAAATGCAGTCTGGCGGAGACGGGATGGCGACGGCGAGATGACGCTTCTCCGCCCACTCGCGCAGCCGCGGGCAGAGAGCCGTCGGATTCGGAGCGTGGCACGCCATCATCGGACGGTCGGTATGAGGAGAATCAGAGACGTGACGGGACGAACGGGAAAAGCTAGTAAGAACTCGAAGGTAGAGGGCGACGGAGGAATCTGATATGGCTGACAATGCGAGGGAACCTTTTTCCGAATATGTAGGAAGGACTCCTCGGCGGGTATCTCTTGATCTCTCGGGTCTGGACCATGCAACTGCGGATCGCAAAAACCGAGCTACTTGAACGCACTAACCGCGAAGGTCCCTTGCTGATCAACGAAGGACCTGGGAGGTTGTGACGTTAGTAAGGCCCGATCGGATTTGGATGTATTAGAGTCCAACTAATGACCGCCTAGTGAATCCAAGCAGTAGCGTAGCGTGTGATCGATCGTCTGTATTACAGCACAGCAGGGGATCTGGTTTGAAAAGGCGCCACGCCATCGCCGCCAGCGGCATTGTTCGCTAAATGCACTCTGGGGATGAGCTTTTGGATATACATACAACCTGGCCATGGCGTGGGATCTAGTTGAAGAGAGGCTATCTTATGGAAAATCACCCACCAAGCCACCGTCATAATCTTTCTGCCTAGGAAGACAGCGTGGAGCCAGGATGTTCATTTTCGAAAACGTTTTGAAAAGTGCATGCCACAGTTCAGTGCGGATTTCCAGTTACTGTGCGAAACCAGCGCGAACGAAAGCGTCGCACAATCAGTTCCAGGGGGAACCAGTGGGGAACGAACGATTCGGCTCACACAAATTCGTCTCTCTCATCAAACTCGTCAACCAATCGAGGTTCTGCTTACAAGAAACTATCTGCTGTCACCGTTTCGCACCAACCTCAAAGCCATTGTTCTGGAGCCTGCGCGAGTGGGAAATTGGCGCAGCAAGCAAACACGCTGGTTACCCGACACCACAGGTCCTCAGGCAGTGGGAAACTTTCCAGCTTGTCATTCAGATTTTGCCAGGATGGCAAGCATATGATTCCGTGCCTACTGCCTATTTGCCCACAAATTGGACCCACCCGCCCAATCGACCTTGGCTGCTTCACATTCTGGTGGGAAACTTTCCAGCTTGTCATTCAGATTTTGCCAGGGTGGGTGGGTCGTAATTGTTACCAAACGCGTGAAAATAGTTACAAAACGCGTGAAAAATCAAAGTAATTGTTACCGTACGCGTTATTGAGTCCCGTTTAAAACTCGATTACACATTTGTCAACGAGGTTTCGGGTTTATGTTGTGCACCTTACAGTTTAGAAGCAAATTTTCAAGTTCCTAAGGATTTCGAACCTCTTCTTTCAAATGTATACCAGAGCTTTAAGTTACCATTCGCATGATTTCCCAAAATGGAATCCTGGTTTGGGATGTACAGTACTCCTCCACCTAATCACGTGCCATCATAATGAAGCTAAGGGGTATTAGCAGAAGGTAGAAATGGTGGAGAAGAAGAGAAGGGCCGACCGAAGGAAAGGTGGGAAGAGGAAAAGAAGAGAGGGTGAAACTAAAGGAAGGAGACACCTAGGGACCAAAACACCACAGCAACCCGCACCACAGCGCGGGACACTGTTAGAATCTAGCAGCAGGAATGGATGAACTAACAGCATGCAGGAGTACAAGTAGAAAACCCTAATTGGGTTGTATCCCATATGGGCTACCCCACTACAGCCTAGACAATATGCAGCATGTATGTTTGACACACCCCCATAGGCAAAGTGGGGGAGAACAAGAGGTCACACGACCAGTCAAGAGACGCAAAGCAAGCTCAGGGTGGATCTCAACGTCACCACACATTCTGAGCACAAGCAAAGGGCCGCAAGGCCAGTCCACATGCAGAGATATATATAAGCAACAAGAGCAGTACAGTGATCAATACCTAGCAAGAGCAAGCATGCAGGTATAAATATAGAGCACAGTATACACAAAAGACTACAGCAAGTGTGGAAACGTAGGCACAAGGCCTAACAAAGTACAAAAGCGCTGATGATCACCAGACGGAAGTGCCTTGGTGAATATATCAGCAGTGTTGGCCCTAGTGGCCACATGTGCAAGACGAAGCTGACCACGCTGCTGCAGCTCTCGAGCCAGAAAGTACCGTAGAGCGATGTGCTTCGTTCTGTGCTCCAGTCTGTGCTCCTCACACAAGGCAATGGCAGCCTTGTTGTCGACGTACAGCACTGGAGGAGAACGAGGCCGCTCTCCCAGGTCGGTCAGCAGGTAGGTGAGCCAGCGTAACTCCTGAGCAGCCATGGCGGTGGCGTAGATCTCAGCCTCACAACTGGAGCTGAGAACAGAAGACGAGCGAGTAGAACGCCAAGAAACAGAACCAGAGCCAAGGCTGAAAGTGTAACCCTGTGACGACCGCTGCGTAGCCTGGTCGTCAACCCAAGAAGCGTCTGAGTGCCCAGTGAGGACCACCTCTCGCCGTCCTCCAAGCACGAGCCCCATGCCCGATGTACTGCACAAGTAGCGCAGTACCCTCTTCGCAGCATCCCAGTGCACCTTTCGGTGCCGGCCAGGAGCCACGTAGCGAGCAAGAAGGCCAAGAGGGTACGCAAGGTCAGGACGAGTGCAAGTCATCAGGTACACGAGGCAGCCCACTAGCTCTGGGTAAGGACCACTCGGCTCTACGGACTCATCCGAAGGCAGAGCTGAGAGCGAGTGACCTATAGCCAGAGGAGTGGCCTGTGCTGAGGACCAGGTGAAGCCGAAGCGCTGAAGGACCTGCTGCACCATGTGTGACTGAGTCAGTGTGATGGTGCGGCGTGCTCGGTCCCGGGTGATCTGCAAGCCAAGGTAGCTGCGCAGCTCACCCAGGTCTGTGCACGTGTGTCTCTTCTGCAGCTCGGACTTCACCAGGGCGAGGGCCTCAGTGTCAGCAGTAGCAAAGACCAAGTCGTCGACGTACACGAGGATATAGAACGGCGGCAGCGAAGTGTCGGTGCGTAGAAACAGTGAAGGGTCAGCAGTCGAAGGTGCAAACCCAAGAGCCGCAAGGGTAGTCCTCAGTGTGTCGTGCCACTCACGGGGTGCCTGGCGGAGACTGTAGACTGGCCGGCGGAGGCTCCACTGGGTACCAGGAGGGAACGTCCCAGTGAAGCCAGGTGGGCGGCGCAGCCAGATCTCCTCGTGCAGGCTGCCCTTTAGGAAAGCTGTGCTGAAGTCAAGGGAGTGAAGCTCGTAGTCACGCTGAGCGGCAACGTGCAGCAGCACCCGAAGAGTAGTCATCTTCGGAGTAGGGGAGAAGGTCTGGAAGAAGTCAACTCCCTCTCGCTGACTGAAGCCTCGAGCAACGTAACGCGCCTTGAAGACAGGTGGAGAACCTGGCGGCCGCTTCACCCTGAAAATCCACATGCCATCGACGATGTTCGCCCCGGGAGGGGGAACCTCATCGACGTAAGTGCCTGTGGACTTCCAGGATGCCATCTCTGCGTCCATGGCTGCCTGCCACTGAGAGGAGTAGGGACCCGCGATCGCCTCAGCGTAAGAGCGCGGTGTGGGGATGTCAAGTGCATCCGGGTCTCCCTCAGGGGCAAGCAGCATGGCCACGAGATGAGGCGCAGCGGCTGCAAGAGACTCAAGGTCCTCGTGCCTGTCCTCAAGGACGTCCGTGCCAAGGGCACACTCACCCCCGACGGACGGAGGACATACAGACTCAGACTCAGCAACAAGACTAGCAGCGTAGTCTAGACGACAGGCAGCAGCAAAGTCAACAAGCTCAGCGACCAGGGCAAACGCAGCAGCAGACTCAAACGACGGGTCAGTGACAACAGTGGCTAGCAGACGCGTGACAGTAGGGTGCTCAGCACGAAACCGGTCAGACTCAGGGTCTGCGACGTCAGGCAAAGAGGACGCAGGGGGAGACGGAAGAGGAGTACGCTCCGGAGTAGGGGACCGACGCAGGGCTACAAGGCGTGTGCCGGGGACAGCCGGCTGACGCGGACGAGGAACACGACGACCGGTACGACTAGGACGCGACGCAGGCTCACGACGCTCAGCAAGACTACCTGTCTGCTCAGTGTAAGGAGAAGGAGCAGGCAGCGATGAGCCAGGCTGTAACGGAAGACCAGTAGACGACGGGAGAGTAAGAACCTGACGAAGAGCAGAGTCAGGTGGCGGCAGAGACGACGGAGACGGCGAAGCGAAGAACAGTCGTGGCGGCGCAGCTGCACCAGTACCGGTAGCTCCAGCAGCTCCAGTACCTCCAGCAGCTCCAGCACCTCCAGCAGCTCCAGAAGCTCCAGCAGCAGAACCAGCACCTCCAGTCCCAGGGTCTCCAGCCTCAATGTCTCCAGCAGCAGCACCTCCAGACGCAGCACCCCCAGCCCCAGCAGCTCCAGTACCTCCAGTACGAGCACCTCCGGGACCAGCGACTCCAGCACCTCCAGTAGACAAAGTACCAGCACCACTCCTAGCTCCAGGGACGTCAGCAGAAGTACCTCCAGCAGCAGAGCCCCGGGCTCCAGCAGCGCGACCCTGACGGCGACCGTACCAGTCGTGCAGCTGCTGCGAGGTGAGAGGCACACGTGGACGAAGGCGGCTACTCCAAGGAGACCGCGCAACAGCAGACTCTGAACCCTCAGCGCCAGCACCCTCAGCAGCTCCAGCGCCACCAGCACCAGGACCTCCAGCAGCTCCAGAACCTCCAGCGCTCGCACCCTCAGCAGCCCCAAAACCACCAGCTCCAGCACCCCCAGACCCCTCACACGCAGGCTCAGCACCTCCAGGCTCTACACCCTCAAGCTCCGCACCCCCAGGCTCCGCACCCCCAGGCTCAGCACCCCCAGGCTCCGCACCCCCAGGCTCAGCACCCCCAAGCTCCGCACCCCCAGGCTCAGCACCCCCAGAAGTAGCACCCCGAGCAGGACCTGAGTCACCAGTGACCTCGACCGGCGCAGGGAAGGAAGGAGGGTCTACCTGAGACACACCTGAAGGAGCAGGACCGGGAGCGGGGAGGGGGTCTACCTGGGGAGCACCTGGAGCGAGGAAGAGCGGCGGGGGAGGGAGAGGGGCAGTGCGGTAGGGGAAGAGACGGTAAAAGGGAACCGACTCATCGAACGTGACGTCCTGAGACGCAAAGACACGGCGCGAGGTGGGGTGGTAAAACTGCCAACCAGGCGCGTCAGGGACAAAGCCAAGGAAGACACAGGGAACAGCACGGGCGGAGAGCTTGTCCGCGGTGGTATCGCGGACAAAGGCACGAGCACCCCAGACCCGGAAACGCGACGCATCGCCAACCTTCCCCGTCCACAGCAGCGTGGGCGAGGTCTCCGGCAAGGAGACACAGGGCCAGAGGTTGAGCTGATGCGCGGCGTACCGGACCGCAAACGGCCACAGAAAATGGGGGGCAGCCGCATGGATCATGGAGGTACGAGCGACCTCCATGACTAAGCCAATGCGGCGCTCGGCAACCCCATTCTGCTGCGGAGAGTCCGGAAGCGTGAACGACTGGGTGATGCCGTGCTCCGCACAGAAGGCTGCCAAGAGGTCGGAGGAGAACTCACCACCTCTGTCAGAGTGCAGACGCAGGACGGGAAACTCCGTCCCGAACCGCTCGCGGAGCTGGAGACGGGCAGCGCGGATCCAAGGGATCAAAACAGCAGGGACCTCCCCCTTGCTGCGCAGGGGAAAGACCGTGGTGTAACGCGTGTAGTCGTCAACAACCAGCAGGAAGTACCGCTCGTGGCCCTGTCCACGGACGCGGGCTGGGCCCCACACGTCCAGGTGGAGAGTCTGCAGGGGAGCCTCTGTGGGAGGGAACGAGGAGGAGTGAGGAGCGGCGCGCTGCCGCCCCTCGACGCAAGGAATGCAGGGCGGCGCAAGCGAGGGAGGCAGGGCAGGCAAAGACCTGGGCAGACCAGAAACCAGGAAGCGAGAGTGCATGCCACGAAGGCGCTGCACCGAGGGGTGACCAAGGCGGTGGTGCCACAGGAGGGTCTGGTGCGACAACGCGCGGCACTCGCAGGGGGCCGTCGGCTGACCTGACGCGGACGCAGACGCAGACGCAGCTACCTGAGGGGACTCAGTGGTCAGGGTGTACAGACTCGAGCCAGGCGCACGGGAAAACGTGGCCAGGTGTCGGCCGGTCCGAGCACACGTACAGTGAGTCACTCGCTGACTCGCAGGAGTGAACTGGTGCACCCCCCTATCCTGGAGGTCAGCTCCACTCACCAAGTTCGTAGAGAACGAGGGGAGGTAAAGACCTGACAGCAAGCCAGACGGGGCGGCCGGACACGGCAGAACCGTGGAGTAGTGGGCAAGGACTGGACCCCCGGAGGGGTCCGCCAGGGAGACTGGAACCGGCCGACTAAGCGGCGTGAGTGTGGTACAGTCGCGAAAGAAGGAGCGGGAAGCACCTGAGTCAAGCGTGAAGGTGTACAAGGCCGCAGCAGGCGCAGAACCAGAGAGAGCAGACTCACCAGCACCTGGAGCAGGAGACGTACCGGCACCTAGAGCAGCAGCCTCACCAGCACCCAGAGGAGGAGACGCACTAGCACCTAGGGCAGCAGCCTCACCAGTACCGGGAGCAGCAGGCGCTATACCAGGGTCAGGCGGGACGCACAGGTAACAGGCACGGTCAACACTAGTAGGCAATGCATACATGGCAGTGAGAATAGCATCATAGTCAGGAGCAAAGATATCTACCCCCTGTCCAAGCAGCTCCAGCCAGTCGGGGAGCTCAGCCTCGTCGCCAAACACTGTACGCCAGTCGTCGCTCAGACGGGCGAAGCAGCGGGACTGTGTGTGACCAAGCGTCCCGCAAGGCTGACCAACCCGAGCACCTGTGCGAATGACGTACTGGCAGCGAACTGTACGCGTAGACCTGCTAAACTGAGCGTACCACTCGTGGAGCTGCCGGGACGTAAGTGTCTCGCGAGGACGCCGCTGCAGCTGCAGCTGGCCACTGCCAGACGCTCCCAACTGACCAGCTCCAGGGGGACAGCTACGACTGCTACCGCGACAACCCCAGCTAGTATACCACTCACTAAGCTGCTGGGGCGTGAGAGACTCACGTGAACGTCGCTGGAGCTGCATCTGGCCACCGGCCAGTAGCAGTAGCAGCAGCAGTAGCGCGGGCAGGGCAGGCGCGGCAGGCCGACAGGCAGGCAGGCCGGCAGGCAGACAGGCAGGCAGGCCGGCAGGTAGGCAGGCAGGCAGGCAGGCAGGCAGGCAGGCAGGCAGGCAGACAGGCAGGCCGGCAGGCAGGCAGGCAGGCAGGCAGGCCGGTAGGCAGGCAGGCAGGCAGGCAGGCAGGCGGGCAGGCAGGCAGGCCGGCAGGCAGGCAAGCAGACAGACAGGCAGGCAGGCAGGCAGGCAGACAGGCAGGCCGGCAGGCAGGCAGGTAGGCAGGCAGGCCGGCAGGCAGGCAAGCAGACAGGCAGGCAGGCAGGCAGACAGGCAGGCCGGCAGGCAGGCAGGTAGGCAGGCAGGCCGGCAGGCAGGCAAGCAGACATGCAGGCAGGCAGGCAGGTGCTCACCAAAGGCTGGAAGGGCAGGCGCTCGCCGGGCGAGCAGGGCCGGCGCTTAACGGGCGGCGGCGGAGTCGGAGCCGCAACACCCGGTGCAGAGTAGGGCCGAAGCAGCTGCAGGGCGGGGCCGCTTCAGCGGCAGGTCGGGGCCGTGGCAGCTGCAGGGCGGGGCCGTATCAGCGGCAGGTCGGGGCCGAGGCAGAGGGACGCGCGCGGCTCGGCGCGGGCTGCGCTGACAGCGCGCTGGGCTGCTGCAGGCCGCGCGCGGCCGCGCTAGGCAGTAGCGGGCCGCGCGCGGCTCGGCGCGGGCTGCTGCGGGCCGCGCGCGGGCTGCTGCGGGCGGCGCGCGGGCCTCGCGAGGCAGGAGCAAGCCGCGCGCGGCTCGACGCGGGCTGCGTGGGCTCGGCGCGGGCTGCGCGCGGCAGCAGCGGGCTGCGCGCGGCTCGGTGCGGGCTGCGCGCTGCTGCAGCGGGTTGCGCGCGGCTGCAGCGGGCTGCGCGCGGCTCTGTGCGGGCTGCGCGCTGCTGCAGCGGGCTGCGCGCGGCTGCAGCGGGCTGCGCGCGGCTCGGTGCGGGCTGCGCGCGGCTGCAGCGGGCTGCGCGCGGCTCGGTGCGGGCTGCGCGCGGCTACAGCGAGCTGCGCGCGGCTCGGTGCGGGCTGCGCGGGCTCGGTGCGGGCAGCGTGCGGAAGCAGCGGGCTGCGCGCGGCTCGGTGCGGGCTGCGCGCGGCTCGGTGCGGGCTGCGCAGGCCTGAAGGGCGTGTAGGGGCGGCGCGCGGGCCTTACGGGCCTCTAGGGGCAGCGCGCTGGCCTAGGGCAGCAGGAGGCAGCGCTAGGGCTGCTGGACGGCTCGCGTAGTGCAGCACGTCACAAGGCAAGGCAAGGCAGGCAGGTACGTGGGGTAGCGCGGTAACCGCAGCGGTAGGTGGGCCCGAAAAAAAAAACGGTCCTACGGACCTTAGTGCTCTGACACCTTGTTAGAATCTAGCAGCAGGAATGGATGAACTAACAGCATGCAGGAGTACAAGTAGTAAACCCTAATTGGGTTGTACCCCATATGGGCTACCCCACTACAGCCTAGACAATATGCAGCATGTATGTTTGACAGACACAACCTTTCAAACACAGCCGCTAGACGCCTACATGTATGCGTCGCACATACCGTATACTGCATGTCTGTCACGCTCTCAAAGCAGCCGGTATTGAGAAAGCTTGATTTCTTATTCTTATCAATTGGCATCGTTCTAATCACAAATGGCTTATTACAACATTTGCATCAACGTTGAACACAAGCTAGTGCATACTACCGTATGGCCCCGGATATAGGCGCCGTCCGATTAAAGGCGCCGGCGCTTCTATCTGGAGCATGGCGCTTATGGCCGGAACTCGATTATAAGCGCCCCCCTTGTAAACCCCTGATTTATTATAAGCGCATGCATAATTTTATTTTTTTCAATCCTGATTAAACAGTAACGAATCTCAACTTCCAAGCGAGTCAGCACCCATTTTCACCTTGTTTGACTTTCGAGGTCCTGACTGGTTGCGCGTCCAGTCAGGATGAGCTGGCACGCGAGCAAACTGACATGCCAAATGCTCTGTTCAGCGTCAGAGAATCGCCCTCGCGCGATTCTGATTCAAGATGTAAAATTTCGACTCGATTGAACTTACGAGACAGAAATGTACAATTTGGTGCGTTTAATTTATAATTCTATATTTGCCATGATATAAGCGCCGGCGCTTATGGCCGTGATTCAATTACAAGCGCCACCCCTAATAAAAACCGATTTTATTATAAGCGCAGATGTGCCTATATCCGAGGTAATACGATAATAACACTAGCTAAGATGTACCCTATCCAAGTGGCATTAGCAGGGCGGTTAACTCTGCGGTGGGTGGTGGGAATGTTGAGTGAGCCGTTTGAAAATTGAGAAACGTGGGTGGAGGGAAATGAACTCCAACCCACGGTTTTTGTAGTTGGAGAAGGGCGTTTAGCGCGCTTCGACGATGCCAATTGTGCAGTACAAGCAGCTTCGCTTTCACAATACACAATTTTAAAAAACACACTGTGTGTTCAAAATTATAATAATGTGATGCCAACTGCCCTGCCCTGCACCCAAAGGGACTGGTGCAGGCATCCATCCATCGTCAATCAGGTGTCGTCGTGAGTCGTGTGGCTCGTGCAAGGAGTCTGCCCACTACAGAATCCATTTCGTTACGGTACTGAAATATATAGCTGGGCTCAAACATTTCTAGCTAGCTGATTCTAAATTTCACCAGTTTCATGAAACCATGCATCAATAGAGCCATGCATCACCCCACATAAATAAGCATTTGCCACAGATTGGTACAAAACCATCTTGGATAAAACTTGAATCCAGTGCACTCCTGGACCTAGTCCAAGCACTTGAGTCCAAACCAATGCCGATTCTGAGCCCGATCCTCGTCAAAAACCCCAAGCGAATCAACCAGACGACGCACCAATATCTCAACTCAACCACCAAGGTCACCACACCCTCATACACCACCTATCCTAGGACGCAGGAACTTGCACTGGTGGCGACCCAGTTACCCCCGGTACAGTCCCAGCTGAAGCGGCAGGGAAGTCAGCAGAAGGGAAGACGGCAGCAGGCCGGGCAGAGAGCCGGCGCCTGAGGTTATCCAGTGAGGCGGCAACAGCCTGTGTGTCCCGTCTCAGCCTGTACAGAGTGTCCAACACGTCCCCACTGCCCTCCTTGCCACCCCCACTGCTGCCCCTGCTGCCACTGCTGCATGGTGTAACCCAAGTGGTACCCATACTGCTGTAGCTTGCAGCTCCTCTGCTGCTCACTCTAGCGCTGCTCGTGCTGTTGATGGGAGAATCTGCACCTGGACTGCGTCTCAAGGAGGCTAGCCCAGAGGCTGAGCAGCTTTCTGAAGGGACCGGAGCACTTGCAGAAGAGATGGAGGAAGAGAGGTGGATTGATGAAGACACAGGCGCCTGGGTGACTGAATTGCTGCAGGAGGGAAGGCCGCCCTCACCTGCTGCCCCTTCACTGCCTCGGTCCTCACCAAGCCCTGCCACGCTGTCTTCTCCACCTCCCACAAACGCCGCTGCTGCGGCTGTTGCATCTGCTGGTGCATCTGGTGCTGCCATTGGTGCTGCCACTGGTGCTGCCGCTGGTGCTGCCACTGGTGCTGCCACTGGTGCTGCCACTGGTGCTGCCACTGGTGCTGCCACTGGTGCTGCTACTGCTGCCTCTACTGCTGCACCAGCTGCACTCATCCCTTCAGCTGCAGCGCCTGAGCCCTCTCTACAGCAAGGTGCAGCATCAGCAGCACCTCTAAGCACATTGGACGATTGAGCTTCAGAAGAGGCGGAGCCCACGGCACCACCAGGAACAGAGCTCGCAGTCACTCTGCCCGCCTCACTTTCACAATCCTTCTCTCCTGCGCCGCCCGCTTTGCCCGCGCCGCCCGCCTCACCTGCGCCGCCCGCCTCACCTGTGCCGCCCGTTCCGCCTGCCCCTCCCCCTCGGCCACAGTCTCCCTCAGAGCGCCCTAAGCCCTTTCTCAGCACTGACCTCGACCGTTCCAGAACCTTCCGGGCAGCTTCCGTGGCAGCAGCAGCGGCTGCCATGGCGTCTGCTGCAGCTCTGCCTGATGTGGTGGCGCGGAAGGAGGTGGGTAGGTCTCTAGACCCAGAAGCACTACTACTGGGAGATGCACGTGCAGCAGCAAGGGGTACAGCATCAGCTGAGGCATTTCCCCCCAAAGAGCCACTGCCTGCACTGCTCATCATGCTGCCAGCTCGCTCCATCCCAGCATCTGCTACTCGACCGCCCTCCTTGTCACCCGCCCTTTCCACCTGTCTGCCGCCCTTCCCCTGGCCATGCGTGTCGGGAGAGGAGAGGTTGACCTCTACAGTTTCATCATCACCCTGCTCCTCCTGTGCCCTTTCCTCTGCCGTTTGCTCTGCTTGCTTCTCCCTGCCCTCTCTCCGTTCCTCTGCTTGCACTTCCCTGTCCTCCTCTGCTCCGCTGCTGCCACTCCAACTGCTGCCCTCCCTCCGCCCCTTGCCCTCACTTTCCACGTCAGCACCTTCCACGTCAGCACCTTCAACGTCAGCACCTTCCACGTCAGCACCTTCCACGTCAGCATCATCCACAAGATCTGCCAGCTGCTCCCATATTGAGTCAGCCACAAGCTCCGGATTCTCCTCAAAGAAACCCGTCTGGTCACGGGATGGCCCCCCACACGTGCCACGCTGTGAGGCTGGGGCAGCAGCAGCATCCCTCACACCTTTCTCATTCGCACCCTCACCACTCGCACCCTTTTCACTCACACTCCCCTCACTCACACTCCCCTCACTCACACCCCCCTCACTCTCTTCATCCCCACGCCTACCGTTTGCTACATCCGTCTCTTCCTCCCCCTCTTGCTCCCCATTGCCCTCCACCTGCTCCTCCGACTGCCCTTCTGCCTGCACCACCTGCTCCTCCCGCTCCTGCTGCTGCTGTGCCTGCTGCTGCGCCTTAGCCTGCTCAAAGTCGCGAAGCCATTGCTCCTTCTTCTCCTCCCACTCTCGCTCCAAAGACACCACCCGCGCCTTGGCCTGCTCCCTCAGCTCCTGCAATCGCCCCGCCTCGTTGCCCGCCCAACTCGCCCTGATAAAGCCGGGGAAAGGAAGGGCGGGGGAGAAGGAAGAGGGAAAGGATGGGGCGCAGTTATGAGGGAGGGTAAAACCTGCTCAGTCTCCGCTTCCTCTCCCTTCCTCTCTTTCCGCTTCTTCTCCTCCCTCTCTCCCCACTTCTCCTCCCACCAACTCCCATTCTTTTCCTCGCTCTCTCTCCCTTTCTTCTTCAACACTCTCGCCTTCCTCTATTTCCACTTTATTCCCAGCAGCACATCACACATACCCTGAAGCGGCCTGCTGGTGAAGGTTAGGAGCACTGCCACGCCCCCCTTGCTGCTGCTGCTGATGCTGCTGCTGCTGCTGCTGCTGCTGCTGGTACTGCTGCTGCTGCTGCTGCTGCTGATACTGCTGCTGCCCCCCACTGCCCCGGGCAGCTGAAAAAGAGTGCATCGGGGATGTTCCCGCCACACTATTCCGGGCAAAAGACGAGTAGCTACTGCTGCGATTGGGCACGTTTCGGAAACTACCCGTGGGCGAGAGGTACGAGGCATACCCTTGAGACGCTCTGAACCCCCCTGCACCCCTCTGCACCCCCATGGCTCTCCCTCCCGCGGGTGCAGAGCAGGGGCAGGGGGGAAGGCGCGAGCGTAGGGAATCAAACACGGCCCGCTTGTTGCTGTCTGTCAGCATTGTGTGCGCCTGGGGGGAAGGAGATGGGGGAGAGGAGCGGGAGAGGGAAGGGAGTTGATTGGAGCGGAGTGGAGGAGACGGGAGGAGAGGCAGGTGGTTAGGAAATCGAACACTGCTTGCTTGTTGCTGGGAGCGGGATAGGGAGGGGGGCATGGTGGGTGGCGAGGTAACAGCAGGGAAAGTGGAGGAGTGGGTAGGGAAAAGTAGTTTTGGATGAGAGGGGGTGGGAAGAGAGGACAGGGTAGGGGGAGGGTGAGAGGAAGGAGGCGAGAAACGCGCTGAGGAGGGCGGCCGTAGAGGAGGTGCAAAGTTTCGTTGTAAGATTCTCGTTATAAGACTCACCTCCTTGACATAACGAAACGCCGCTTCGGCCTTCTGCGACTTGTTCTTATCCGGATGCAGCAGGAGCGCTGCGACGGAGGGCAGAAACAGGGGGGAAGAGGAGGAGAAAAGAGATGGGGGAAGACCAGGAATGAGGAGGACCAGGTGGGGTAAACCAGGAATGAGGAGGACCAGGTGGGGTAAACCAGGAATGAGGAGGGGAATCAACGATCAGTCCCAGGGTTCTCATCAGATATTCTTCAAACGATCTCTTTTACAGAACTACGGTTCCAGTCTTGATTCCTCCTTGGTATGTCAGAGCCTCCTCAGCCTCACTCACAGTCCCTGGAGCGCCGTAACAGAACGAAACGCAGTCACAGTGAGGCCTAACGTGCGAGGCAGTGCGAGTGGGCTGCGGGAAACGCACCTAGCTGTCGGCATCACTTCTTCCGCCTTAGTCTCACTCACAATCCCCGGCGAACAGTACGGCCCAACGTGCGAGGCAGTGCGAGTGGGCTGCGGGAAACGCACCTAGCTGTCGGTACCGCTTCTTGACTTGACTTTCGAGTCGACTCAGTTGACTTTCGAGTCGACTCAAAAGTCAACTTTGCGAGGCAGTGTGAGTGGGCTGCGGGAACTCACCTAGCTGTCGGTACCGCTTCTTGATTCCGGCTTCGTCCGTCCGCGCATCCACCTGAGGGACAGATAACGCGAGCAGTGACCACGCCAGAGAGGTTCAGGGAAGAAATGCAGAGAAAACGCTGTTCTTAAGGCGTCTCGAAATACAAGGAGCGCTTGTAAATACCCTCGTGCGGTCAACATCCCGAGCCTAATGGCGTGCTTCGACGGATGTAACCGGCGAGAAAAATCGACGAGCGAAATCGACGGGCGAAATCGACGAGCAAAATCGACGAGCGAAATCGACGAACGCTATCCGCGATCGTATCTGACGAATGTAACCGACGAGCGAACGCGCATACCTGGAGCACCCCGAACCAATCCACGTAATCCTTGGGAAGCGGACCAATGGGACGGCGACACCTAGGACACTGAGGCGTGTAGCCGACAGCGGCGAGAACCTGAGCCACGGCGAGCAGCTCAGCCAATCCCTTGGCGCCAGGTGTCGTCCGCTCGAGCTTCACGAGTAGCGCGAGTGCGTTGTCTGCACGGGATTGTACTAGTAACGATTCTGCTTGTACGAGAACAGCCGCGGCTGCCTCCTGCTCACGTCGCGAGGCCATTTGCGAAAGATACGAGTTAGCACCGCTACTGACGTCGGGTGCGGACGGATATCGAATTATGATCCTAGCGCTGCTACTGACGCTGGTCGTAACGGTGGCCGTAAGGCTGGTTGTAACGCCGTAAGATACGCTGCTTGCTACGTGGGGACCTACCTAACAGCGCAACGAGCGGTTCTGGCTGACCTGACAATCAGCTGTGAAAAGAAAAAGCGTGAAGGGATACGCGCTATTGCATGCAACACTTTTGAGAACTACACTAGTGAAGGGAGGTTTGGCGGATGTTGAAACCACTTCCAGGCTCCTGCATGCCAAGCCATCGAAAACCGAACCGAGCCGTCGGCTTGGAGGGTTCCGGAGGTGAGTGACAGCGGCAAGGAAAAGCAGGTGGTTCGGCGATGCCGAGGCAAGCCTGACACTCTGGGAAAGGGATTCGGGAAAGTGGGTGAAAGTGGCAAATCTTCGTTAGCCGAGTTCCGAAAAATGAACTAGAACATTGTTGAAAGCCTTCATCTAACCCGCTATAATGGATCACGGGTAGCTTGGATGAAATAAATAGGGAGCAAATGATCGAGACTGAGATAGGCTATGGAAATTGTTGCACTACTTTCCACATTCACAACTCTCCTGATTGTGAGATTTCAAGAAACACATGATGTAGGAACTACGTGCATGACTGAACTTCCATGGCAAAACAGTTAGCACTGGTAACATTTGAAGCCAATATGCAAATCCAAAGGTCCTATGCATTTGACCATATTTAAGAAAGGTGCATTTTTCCCACCAAAGTCATCCTTTCTTTCACCAGTTGTTCCGCATTCCCACCCTAACACTCTTCCTCGTCCCTTCACAAGCCTATTGAACCAACAAACTCTGGCTCATCAAACCATAACTACCAAACCCACCCAGCCTCACTCCACCCTACTCCACCCCACCAACTCAACATGATCCCATCCTACCCTACACAGCCCACCCTGCCTCATCCCACCCAAATCTACAGACCAACCCACCCTGCCTCATCCCACCCGAACCTACCCAAACCAACACGCTCATACGCTGCACCGTATACGCTGCATCACCCGCTGATACCCTGCACCGCCCGCTCATACGCTGCACCCTCCTCTCATACGCTGCACCGCCCGCTCATAGGCTGCACCGACCGCTCATACACTGCACCGCCTGCTCATACGCTGCACCGCCCACTCATACGCTGCACCGCCAGCTCATACGCTGCACCACCAGCTCATACGCTGCACCGCCCGCTCATAGGCTGCACCGACTGCTCATACGCTGCACCGCCTGCTCATACGCTGCACCGCCCACTCATACGCTGCACCGCCAGCTCATACGCTGCACCACCAGCTCATACGCTGCACCGCCCGCTCATACGCTGCACCGCCCGCTCATACGCTGCACCACCAGCTCATACGCTGCACCGCCCGCTCATACGCTGCACCGCCCGCTCATACGCTGCACCACCAGCTCATACGCTGCACCGCCCGCTCATACGCTGCACCGCCCGCTCATACGCTGCACCGCCCGCTCATACGCTGCACCGCCCGCTCATACGCTGCACCGCCCGCTCATACGCTGCACCACCCGCGCATACGCTGCACCGCCCGCTCACACGCTGCACCGCCCGCTCATAGCACTCGCACTCACCAGCAGCACTCGCAATCACCAGCAGCACTCGCACTCAGCAGAAGCACTCGCACTCAGCAGCAGCACTCGCACTCAGCAGCAGCACACGCACTCAGCAGAAGCACTCGCACTCACCAGCAGCACTCGCCCTCACCAGCAGCACTCGCACTCACCAGCAGCACTCGCACTCACCAGCAGCACTCGCACTCACCAGCAGCACACACACTCACGCTCACCAGCAGCACACGCACTCACCAGCAGCACTCGCGCTCACCAGCAGCACTCGCGCTCACCAGCAGCACTCGCGCTCACCAGCAGCACTCGCACTCACCAGCAGCACTCGCACTCAGCAGCAGCACTCGCACTCACCAGCAGCACTCGCACTCAGCAGCAACACTCGCACTCACCAGCAGCACTCGCACTCACCAGCAGCACTCGCACTCACCAGCAGCACTCGCACTCACCAGCAGCACTCGCACTCACCAGCAGCACTCGCACTCAGCAACAGCACACGCACTCACCAGCAGCACTCGCACTCACCAGCAGCACTCGCACTCAGCAGCAGCACTCGCACTCACCAGCAGCACTCACACTCACCAGCAGCACACGACTCACCAGAGCACACGACAGGGACAGGGACAGGGACAGGGACAGGGACAGGGAAACAGGGACAGAAACACAGGGACAGGGACACAGGGACACAAGGACAGGGACAGGGACAGGGACAGGGACAGGGACAGGAACTGGGACAGGGACAGGGACAGGGACAGGGACAGGGACAGGGACAGGGACAGGGACAGGGACAGGGACAGGGACAGGGACAGGGACAGGGACAGGGACAGGGACAGGGACAGGGACAGGGACAGGGACAGGGACAGGGACAGGGACAGGGACAGGGACAGGGACAGGGACAGGGACAGGGACAGGGACAGGGACAGGGACAGGGACAGGGACAGGGACAGGGACAGGGACAGGGACAGGGACAGGGACAGACACAGGGACAGGGACAGGGACAGGGACAGGGACAGGGACAGGGACAGGGACAGGGACAGGGACAGGGACAGGGACAGGGACAGGGACAGGGACAGGGACAGGGACAGGGACAGGGACAGGGACAGGGACAGGGACAGGGACAGGGACAGGGACAGGGACAGGGACAGGGACAGGGACAGGGACAGGGACAGGGACAGGGACAGGGACAGGGACAGGGACAGGGACAGGGACAGGGACAGGGACAGGGACAGGGACAGGGACAGGGACAGGGAGGGACAGGGAAACAGGGACAGAAACACAGGGACAGGGACACAGGGACACAAGGACAGGGACAGGGACAGGGACAGGGACAGGAACAGGGACAGGGACAAGGACAGGGACAGGGACACAAGGACAGGGACACATGGACAGGGACAGGGACAGGGACAGGGACAGGGACAGGGACAGGGACAGGGACAGGGACAGGGACAGGGACAGGGACAGGGACAGGGACAGGGACAGGGACAGGGACAGGGACAGGGACAGGGACAGGGACAGGGACAGGGACAGGGACAGGGACAGGGACAGGGACAGGGACAGGGACAGGGACAGGGACAGGGACAGGGACAGGGACAGGGACAGGGACAGGGACAGGGACAGGGACAGGGACAGGGACAGGGACAGGGACAGGGACAGGGACAGGGACAGGGACAGGGACAGGGACAGGGACAGGGACAGGGACAGGGACAGGGACAGGGACAGGGACAGGGACAGGGACAGGGACAGGGACAGGGACAGGGACAGGGACAGGGACAGGGAGAGGGAGAGGGACAGGGACAGGGACAGGGACAGGGACAGGGACAGGGACAGGGACAGGGACAGGGACAGGGACAGGGACAGGGACAGGGACAGGGACAGGGACAGGGACAGGGACAGGGACAGGGACAGGGACAGGGACAGGGACAGGGACAGGGACAGGGACAGGGACAGGGACAGGGACCGGGACAGGGACACAGGGACAGGAACAGTGACAGGGACAGGGACAGGGACAGGGACAGGGACAGGGACAGGGACAGGGACAGGGACAGGGACAGGGACAGGGACAGGGACAGGGACAGGGACAGGGACAGGGACAGGGGCAGGGACAAGGACAGAGACAGGGACAGGGACAGGGACAGGGACAGGGACAGGGACAGGGACAGGGACAGGGACAGGGACAGGGACAGGGACAGGGACAGGGACAGGGACAGGGACAGGGACAGGGACAGGGACAGGGACAGGGACAGGGACAGGGACAGGGACAGGGACAGGGACAGGGACAGGGACAGGGACAGGGACAGGGACAGGGACAGGGACAGGGACAGGGACATGGACAGGGAAAGAGGAACAGGGAAAGAGGGACAGGGACACGGAGAGGGACACAGGGACAGGGACAGGGAATGGGACAGGGACGGGGTGAAGGGGGTGATGGGGGTGATGGGGGGGTGATGGGGGTGATGGGGGTGATGGGGGTGATGCGGGTGATGGGGGTGATGCTGACTGAGGCTGACTGACGTTGACTGATGTTGACTGAGGTTGAAAGGAGCCGTGCTGCTGCATCCACTGCTCTGCTGCTCTACTGCCAGCACTCCATTCGCCCTGAGACCAGAGGACGCATGGGGGAGAAGGAGATGCAAGGAGATTGGACTCGAACAAAGGGCAGGCAACGAACTGAGAATAAATGAAGCAGCAAGCATAACGTGCATGCGCATGTGTATTACAGCGAGAATGGAGAGGTGGAAGGGGGAACGGGGAAGGCGCATGGCTACAGTGGCCCACGGCACTAGAGCAGCGAGCTTAGCCAGCGAGGGGGGACTGGAGGATGCACGCATGGCATGAATGCACTCCCTCTCCACTACTCTATCCCACCACTCCCACTACACTGCACTCTACATGAGCTCTGCTGCCATAGCACCACGGACCACGACCACCATACGCCAAGGGACGAATGTATTGAGATTTCCCAAAAACGAAAGAGACGGATGGGGAGCGATGGAGGACGGGGGGCCCGGAGAGGAAACTTAGCAAAGTAGAAGCGTAGAGGCTGAAAGTGACTCGTCCAATTCATGCCATGCGCGCGCTCCTCTCTACCCCAGCCTCCATGTAGCTGCAGCTGGTGAGCTGTAATATCATGCCATGCCATGTACCACAGCAAGCCAGACACAGTGAGTGCAGCTCAAAGAGCCACCAGGCACAGCAGAGCATGGAGGACGCAGCAGACAAACCAGGCAGCAGCAGCAATAGACAGAGCAAAGAGCCAAGAGAGGGTGAGTGCAGTGAAACGGAGGAGCAAAGGGGAAAGTGGGTACAGTCAAAACGGAGGAGCGAATGAGAGAGTGGCTGCAGTGAAA